GGGACAGCAGGGTGTGCGAGTTTGTCGGGGGACAGCAGGGGGCGTGTATGCGGGGGGGGGACAGCAGGGTGTGGGTGTGGGTGGCAGGCGGCACGTGTATATCAAGGGAGGGAACAGGACGGCAGGAAGGAGGGCAAGGGACGTGTCTGTGACCTATATGTGGTGGGAGACACACTATGTCCTGGTTTCCCTGCCCCCCATACCTTGTGCAGGAGTCACACAGCTCCCGGCTTGACTATTCATTGGGGACAATGGCAGCATGAGGCATGGTGTAGCCCAGTGGTCAGGGCACTCATGGGAGACTTGGGTTCAAGTCTCAGTGGGGGACTCGAATGTGGCTTTCCCCCAGCGGGGGTGAGTGCTCTGGCCGCTAGGTGTAAGGGGGCACCTCCACCTTGGTTTTCTGGGAGGAAGACTGCCCTCGATTGGTGCCTGGCAACAGGAGAGGCTTCAGAGAGAGTGGCCTCTCTTCTGTACTGAGGGTCCTAAGTCCCTTTGCTGGGCAGGGCTGGGGCCACACCCTCTCCCAGCATTTCCCACTGGCTCCTTTAGGCAGCTCCCTGCTCAGCATGCAGGCTGCTGTGAATCTTTTTTTTATTTTAGGTCCCTCACTTTCCCCATGCATCATACGGGAGCCTGGCAGCAGGGCCCCTAAAGCCAGGCACCGCAAGACTCAGCCTATGTCCCAGGCCATGCAGGGCAATGCTAGCAGAGTGGGGAACTGAACACAGGTGGACCAAATGCCAGCCCAGTACCCTAAGCACTGGGCCACCCTTCCTCTGCATCCTTAACTCCAGCTGCTGTTGGCATCCTGCTGTGCCAAAATATTGCTGTTCATGCTTCTTTGCAAAAATAGCTTATAACACAAGTCCTGTAATGAGCCCTCCCCAACCCCTGGTGCACACACACATCCTGGGCAGCTCTTCCACACACTGGCCCACAACAAACTTACCTGGAGACCATGGCACAAGAGGAATGGAGGAGGGCAGACTCACCAATGATGCTTCTCAGATCCTCCTCGTCAAGGTTTTGTCTGGGTGTGGCAGGGAGCGTAGGGCTGACTAGCGTCGGAAGGGCAGTAGCAGCTGACTCCTCACTCCTGGAGGCATCCACACTTGTCCCAGTTGTTGTCGAGATGTGGACAGTGGTGGTTGCCACAGCAATTGTAGCTTTGCGGGGGTTGGCTGTGGGTAGGTTTGCTGCTGTTGTGGGTGCCTGTGTACCTGTCTGGGTCAAGATTGCTGGTGTCCATGTGGCTGGCTCATCTACTGACCCACTCATGGTGATGGCTCCAGGTGAAGTGGTGGTCTTCAGAGTTGCTGGGAGCTGGTCTACAATGGTGGTGGGAGCTGCAGGGGTCAGTGCTGGTGTCAGTTCACTGGAGAGGGACGGGGCAGCAGAGGGCAATGGTGGAGTCCTGGTGGCAGTTTCTGCTACTGGAGACCCAGGTATGGCAGGGGCAGCTTGCTCCATGGTAGGGGCGATGTTCTGGAGTGTCAGAGGCCCTCCCACTAGAGCTGGCGTCGTGGTGCTGCTCCGCTCATGGCTGTTGTGCCTCAAGAGCTGATCTTCAATCAGCAAATCAACTGTGTGATCCCCACTGAAAGACTCATCCTCTGCCAAGCAAGTAAAACACGCATCACTGGGAGGTGCACGGCAACCCCCGCCATGGTGGGACTAGAGCTGTGCAAGGGGCAAGGGGAGCCTGGACTAGCCTGTCATGGTTCTTGAGTGCTCCAGAGTCAGGCTTGTCAGAGGACACAGCACTAAGCCCTGTCTCCACTGCTCGCTGAGCCACCCCAGTACTTAGTCTGGGGGGACCTTGGGGATGAGCTGAGCTGCTCAAAAGGAAATCCCCAGGTATCAGCAGTGGATAAGTGGGGCCCATTGTGCAGTGCTGCTAACACTCACAAATAACATGATATGGGCTCCTGTTGAAGGCAGTATTGCAATACATTCCAGCCTTCCTGTGACTTTTGGGGAGCTCCTCTCTACAATGCCCTGTAGCCCATTGGAAGGTCTGCAACCACACAAGCCCAAGAGTTGAAGTCTCAGCTCTGTCATTTAGTGCTATTAATATTTGGCCATTACTATGGCCAAAGTTCATATCATGGGGGGGGGGGGGGGGACTGTTTTTCACCAATTTCAGAGATAAGATAGCTGTGATCTTGCACATGGTCACTGCAGACAGAGCTGGAAATAGAATTCAAGGGTCCAATACAGGTGCTGTCTTTGACCACCAGACCAAAACCTTCTCCCAGAGCCAGAATCCTGATGCCCAGTGCCTCACTGCAGTATCACAGCTACTGGTGTAACCCACTGGCCTCATGGGTGCTGTGTCTCCCTGTGTGGGCTGGGCTGGTAGAAGAACACAGCTATAGCTGACGAGGAAGCAGTCTATGCTGTGGATTTGAAGGCTACAGGGTCAAACATTGCTAATAACACATGTAAGTGGGGAAAAAGTACATCTTTATAAGAAAGTTAGTGTAGGGAGTTCAGAGTAATTATTGCAATGCCTCTGTATTGCAAGACATTGATTTAGCTATGAATTTGGATGTTGTGTTAATATTTGTTTTACTGTTGCATGTTTATTATTTGTATTTTGGTAAGGGGGGCTGTCCCTTTAAGAGAAGGGTGCAATTGTCAGTGGGTTTGAGACTAAGAGCAGCATGGATTGGAGGGATATTTTGCCACTTCCAGTGTGCAGAGAGGAGAGCTCCTGGATGGTGGAACTGCTACACAGAGCAGAGGTCGCTCAAGGCAATCTGCTGTCTTAGGCAGGACATGTGTAATCTTCCCCCGCACTGCTCAGCCTCTAGGACAGAGGTTCTCCACACAGAGGTGCATCAGACTTTCAGGAGGGGAGGGGGGGCACGGTGAGTTGTTATGGTAGAAATGAGGGCCAACTCTCGCAGGTTGCAGCACCACTCAGGTTTGGGCCGAATCTTAGGCAGAATCTACCTCCCTAGGTAGGTGTTTAGTTTGCCTATAGCTAACTCCCATCATCCCCCTCCCCACTTCACATCCCCATCCTCCCAGGCAGCTCAGGGGAAGGGTCGGTGCCAGGATCTGTGGGAAGCTGTATGAACACCAGATTCCCTAGGAACGGCATGCGGAGCCGCGTGTGGCATAGGCTGTGACTGATGGACATCGCAGCTGGGTGCAGGACTTATGTCATCACTTTGCTCTGCACTGGCCAGTCAGCTCTTCAGGACAGGCACTGGCTCTTGCTCCGTTTGTCCAGTGCCTAGCACAATGCATCTCCAAGCTGAGATGAGCTCCTGCAGCAGGGGCCAAAACTGCCGGACTCGCTGTACATTTGTCAGCGCTGGGCATGGCAGGGAAGGGTAAAAACCAAAAAATGTGACGATCTTTAAAAACCCCAAAACACAAAAGCCCCTGATTTTTGAGTAAGACTTGTGATTTCTGACTGTTTGGGGTGTGGGCTTTCAGCAGCTTGGGTTTTCTGAGCCCTATGGGGAATCAGCAGGCCACTTGCTTGTGTTTGCTATTGAGCAATTACTAGGCTGAGTTCCTGGAGATTTCAAAACTAACAAATAGGAACCTTTGTTCAATTCAAAGGCTGTAGAAGCCCCTCCTAGCCTTTGCCATTGTCTCTCTAGGAGGTCATGACCCAGGACTGGCTCTTTGGCGTATGCTCTGTAGAAGCAAATCTGTGTATCATACGGGGAGCCAGTATCACTTACCGGGTTGGGCATGGATGTAGGGCTCAGAAAACCTGCATTCTAGTCCTGGCTCTGCCAGTGGTCTGCTGGGTGACTGTGGACCCCTTCTCTGTGCTTCTGTTTTGGGAATAAAGATGCTGACCTCCTCTGTAACCCACTGTAAGAGCTGTGTATGAACCTGCTGCCTATTATATTATCACAAGGAACTGTCTCAGTGTGTTTCCCAGTCTAGTCCCTTGCCCTCCACATACAGTTTTCAATTCCTAGATAACTGCTGGGCACTTTCTTTCAATGCTGCTGGAAAAATCAGTCCTACTCGTTTAGGTAAGCGTTCCCCTTGCTAATTGCTTCCCTAAATAGCCAGTATGGTGACAGTTTGGGACTTAGCCCTCCATGAGCGGCAGGTGAACCTCCCCTTTCGGGAGACTACCCCTCCGGGTGCACCCCTTTCACCCGAAGCCCCGCCCCCTTCAGCCAGAGGAGCCCTGAGCTGCGCCTGCGGCTGGAGGAGCCCTGGGCCGCCACCCCAGCCAGCTCCCCCAGAGTTGAGCTGGCCGCAGCGCCACCCCGGGCTGCTGGCCCAACCCCCTGGGCCAGCCCGAGTGCTGCCCTGTGGTAGCCATGGCTGCTGGCAGGCCCAAGCTCCAGGCTGCAGGCTGGAGCTGAGCCCCCACCCGCTTAAGGGTAGAGGGGGAGGCCTCAGGGTAGAACATGGGCAGGGCCACGGCCTGGGTCAAGGGAGGCTTAGCCTGCCCTGCACTTTGATATCCGCCGCAAATGTAGCCCTGTTCTTTCTTTGGCTGCTCCCTGTAAATCTGTCTATTTCAGGTTATGCGAAAAACCACTCCCTACCCAAGAGAGGTCCTATTCATCAGTGCATTCAATCTGAAATTCTGTGAATTTGGAAAGCATGCTAGGTGTCACACATAGGAGGTTCATAGTCATCAGTATGGCTGTTAGGTGGTGGTCTGTTTACTGCTCTGCTAATGTGTTCCATATAGCTTTGTAAATTCAACATCATACACTTGATTCATGGGGGTGTTAAACACACAGATTTTTTTTCCAGAAGCCTGTGGTAAGTGCCTACATGTGGTTTTTCTCATACTCATCTATGTGGGATTTAAGACAACACATACATTGCCAGCATCTGCTTTTCAATATGGAATTGGTTTCCTTCTTCCTTGTTTGGGGATCTCAGTGTGAATGCAGCTGGCTGCCCTTCCTGCATAAGGCTTGCACCTGGGCCTTCAGACGATGCCTCTACTTGATAGCACAGATGGCTGAATAACATCCGAGTACTTGAAAACTGGTGAATAGAGACCAGTATTTGATGGCTGTTTGGGTCTGACTTCCCAGGGCCAGAAAAGGTCATTCCCACTAATTTCCTTCCAAGTTTATGATCCACAGATAGTTTGGGCATTAATTTTTCCAATTAGTTTACTAACCTCCTAAACCTATGCAGACCCACTTTACATTGTGAAGCAGGCATTTCAACTCCGCTTTTATTATGTTTGGGTAAGCAGTCAAGACAACCTTGCTCACTTTATGTCCAATAGAGAACATTTCTATTACACCTCTTGCTCCCTACAGAATTTTGCATTGTGCTCGCTAAGATGTTCAGCCCAAATTCAAATACCATCCATTATTATTTAAACTTTTTTAACCCCCTCAGGTAGCTGTGCAAATGCTCTTCAGAATGCCTTGGGGCAGTATTAATTACTGGGACACATTGGTGGTTCAGCAGCTCTTGTCCGGCCTGACTCACCACACCTAACACTGGTGTCATAATCTGTATCTAAAAGGTGGTATAGAAGACATTGGAAAACTAATTACTCACTGATCATTAATATTCTTGCATGATGTACGTTCAGGCTGTGTACAAAGAGTTATGGACATAGGCTAGAATTATATTCTTAAAATGTGTTTGGCAAGCAATGCATAAAAAAAACCCAGCATGCCCTAGACAAAGGAATAAACAGTTTTCTGATCAGCCTGGTCCTCAGGCAAGGATAACGAAGGTCCATTTACGTATGTAAAAGGTAAACAACTCTATCAAGCTAACAAGTGGGGGAGGAGACAGCATCTACACCCCAGCAGGAAAAAGAAGTGTGGTCTGTGTTTTACTTTTCAGAGCATACATTGCAAAGGTTTACTTAGTCTGTAAAGATGGGGGGCTGGAGTTCTACTGATAAGCAATTACATCAGCTGATTGTAGGCAATGTTACTGTACTATCAAAGTGTATCAGGAAAGGGCTTGTCTGAAAGCTAATGACACTGGTAATTAATATCATTGTGAAGTGTCTATATTAGCGGAATAGGAGGAAATACAGATATTCACTGATATTTTGCTTTAAAAGTCTGTGACCAAACATAGGGAAAAACAGGTTCCCACCCAGACCGGAGGGAAGGCAGCTATCTATCTGTCTCCAATGAGGTTAAGCAAGGTGTGACCCAAATCAATGGAAGCACCATTGACATACGAATCATCAGGGGGCTGGGTAGGCCACAGGAAGGGAAGAACAGCACACAAACACTGAGTTTGGGAAGCTATATGGAGGGAAAAGAAGCCATCTTGGCATCCATCACTGGCCAGACACAAGGGGCCAGAGGTCTTGCAAGGTGAGAGAGCTGGGTCTTTCAGCCAAGGGGGCTGAAATCTCTGGGAATGGAAGGTTGGCAAAAGACTGTAGCTTGTTAATTTAGGTCTTTGCCATTAGAAAGCGTATTTTTACTTTTGATGGTTTACAATCCTTCTAACTTTATTCCTTCTACTTGGTATCCCCTAATCTATGTCCTTTTGTTAATAAACATGTTTTATTTTTCCAATAAACTAATTTCGTCCTGTACTTAAAGGGAAGGGTGTATTTCCCCCAGCTAAGCTAATAAGCAGCTATGTGCTTTTGTCTCCTTACAGGGGTGAACACACGGTATTATTCCACTGAGTGTTTAAGGAGAGGGCTGGACACTTCAGGGCAGATGGTTTGTGGGACATTTGGGACTGATGTGTGTGTTGGGGTCACCTTGCCAGGTGAATCAGAGTGTGGCTGGGGGGTGCCAACCTGGCAGCTGGAATCAGAGCTGCTTAACCCACAGACGCTCAGTGCAGGCTTATCCGCTGGCTGGGCATGTCCAGACAAGAGAAGCACAGCAGCAGAGCCTTTGGGACATGTAGGTTCCAGGGCAGGCAGCAACACAACCCCTCATTGGTCTAGCTCAGCGGTTTGCAGCCCAATTAGCACAGAGCTGCAGCCCAGCTCAGCTGTGTGCTAAAGGGCAGTCCACAAGCCAGGGTCCGCAGCAGCCACGCGGTGAGGGTCTGTGGCTGCTGGCAAGCCCCGTGGGGTCTGCGACAGCCACATGGTGGGGGACCGGGGCAACTGCACGATCCCTGCAGCCCAGGTAACACACTGTGGGCCGCATATGTGGCCCACAATGTGTAATAAGTTGAGAACCACTGGTCTAGCTTGCACTCCAGAATATAACAGCCAACTGGCATTTGCTTAAACATGTAATGCAGAGGATATTTTGGTTTCTGAGAGCTTAGCAGCCACCTTTCCAATAGTTTACATTGTGTGGCATTGTCTAACTTACCCTTATCAATGCACATCTGCACTTTAACTGCATTTTTAATTCCACCCATGGCATTTACCCAAGTTTTTTACATTTTCAATTGCTCCCCGCTTTTCATATGTTCAAACTCTGTTTTTATTTCCTCCATTAAAGTCAATGGAATTTCTCTCATTGAATGTATCACTGAAGTTGTTTTGTGATTTGCAATCTCCTTTCAGATACCACAGCCCTTGGGAGACAGATGGAATTCTACGTACTGTCTGTTGCCTCTGGTTCATAGTGAGCCATTTTCAGCAAATGTGTTTTTACCTAACTTCCTGGCTTGGCTGGTTTTCTGTCCTAACACGGGTGATGAATTTGCATTTATTGTATTGAGTTTTAAAGCAAACAGTAAGAGTTCCATATTCCCTTAGCTACTGCACTGTAACACTGTATTACTCTCCAGTGTGAAAGTTTAAAGTCATTGTGCCCATCAAATAATTGAGTTTATTGCTTTGCTGTTCTCCCAGTGAACAGACGATCTGGGCTCTAACTCTGTGACACACCTTAGCAAAATGTTTTTTCTGTTCCACGTTCTCAGCCACACCTAGTGTAGATGGATCTTTGCCTGTCAGAAACACTTCTATTTCCATGTTGATGTTATTTCAGTTTCCTTCATTTCTAGCTCTCTCTTTTAGAGAAGGTGGCACATGGACTAGCTGCTTCCTCTGTCCCAGGTCACTTGGGTACCCTCTACGCAGCCCACAGTAGCAAGTCTCCCAGCCTGGGTTAATACACTGGGGCTTGCAGGGCTCGTGCTAGTGCTCTATCAATATCTATGTAGACTAGTGGTTCCCAAAC